CCGCCGAGGATGCCGTAGCAGGACAGAGTTATCGGCATGGGATTGTTCCGAGACCAAGCAAAGTCACCCCGGCACGGGCACCTCGGCGTCTGGGTGGTTCAGGGCAGAATTTCTGTTGCTCTTTCCCCTTGCTGGTCCTTGCTTTACCGACTCTTACCAGCAAAGGCCTTGCCCAGCAAGAACTTCGTGGCCCCAGTGGGAAATCACAGGAATCATAGAAGGGTTTGGGTTGGAAGGGACCTTAGAAACCATCTAGTTCCACCATCTAGAGACCTCCCACCAGCCCAGGTTGCTCCAATCCCCATCAGCCTGGCCTTGAACACCTCCAGGCATGAGGCAGCCACAGTTTCTCTGGGCAACCTGGGCCAGTGTCTCACCAGCCTCACAGTAAATGAGACGTACTGAGAGGCTAGGAGCACTCACTTTTCCTCTGTGTTGTGAGATTATAATATAGACACCAGTCACAGGAATACTGGCATGAAAGGAACATAAGTGGAAATGTGCATGCGGGAGGTCATCAGGAAAACCAACTCAACAACAATTAAGGGAAGGGCCTGCACACTCCCATCAGCCGAGCTCAGGAAGGCGCAGCTCCCACCCAGCCTGGAGAACCGGGCTCTGGCAAGGCCACAGCACCAGCCACGCAGCTGAAGATACTGTGCCCGGACAAAAGGAGGGTTCACCGCAGACACCACTGCCCCTACCGACAGCCTGCCAGGAAGGTGAGCACAGCCAAGGAAAACCCCAAACAATTGTCGACTCCCAGCAGACAGAGATGTCTAATGTCACTGTCACCTGCCAGTGAGAACTCCAGAGACGCATCTGACAGCCGGCATCCCTCATCCTCTGCATCACACCCACACAGTCCTGGGCAGAGAACACGGGAGCACAGGCCTGAGAGCAGACAACTGAAATCTGTGAGAGGATGTGTGTGAGTGAGTGAAAAGCAACTTAAGTGCTTGTGTAAATAAATCCATAAGATCTGGCACTGCATTTTGGTACTTGGCAGGACCCATTTGTTCCACACAATTCCTTCCCTCACCTGCTTCTCCACAGACCCCCAGCCCTTCCTCACTGCCTGTGCAAATAGTTCTCTGCATCTTCCCTGGAGTGGAGGAGGGACATTATCCGTGGGTGTAGAGGAAGACGGAAGAGCACTGTTTTGTGATGTACATACACATTCAGGGCCACACTGTGACTGTGGTTTTGTAATAACCATTACTTCTAGATCAGGTTCATAGTCCAACAGGAAAAAGAGAGCTTTAGAGGAGCTGCTTTAAGTGCTGGCACTGAATTCACCTTCAGCGGTGCCACTGAATTCACATTCAGTTAACATGCATCATTTCAGCCTTTAAATTTGGACTCTACCTCACACTAGATTATCAAATAAAACTAAAAATTGGGTGTTTTTCTGAGCATTTCATGATTAAAAAAACTTCATGGCAGATGGGTTGGAACTAGATGATCTTTAAGGTCCCTTCCAACCTAAACCATTCTCTGATTCCAAACAATTGTGATAGATATGAAAACTCCACGTAAAGAAACTGAGGAACAATTTAACAGAAGGCTGAAGCATGCATTCTTTTTTAGTATTTATTTTCTTAGCACAGGAAACTACCGATTCATGTAGCTTAAAAACACATTAAAACCCTCAACATTCTTCATATGGGTGCGAAGAGAGAAACATGGGGTGAAATAGGTAAGGAAGGAAGAATATCTACTTCTGACCTAAATGCCCAAAAGAAAGGACTATCTGTCATTTGGAAAAAATTACTAACTTCCCTTACTGTTTGTTCCATACATAGAGCCCTGTTTAAAAAGTGCCTGTCAGTGGGAAGCCAAGCAAAAGTTGCACCACAGTGAGCACTCATTACCTACGCAACAGCTGCGAAAGCCTAACTCAGATCCAGATCACTCAAATCTACTTTAAATAAAAGAAAACCACACACCAGCCACAATTAAACTGCAGTAAACTGAGTTGAAAAGCTTGAAAAAAAAAAAAAAAAACAGGATTGCAGGCAAGAACAGTCTTCTGTTTTCTGATGAAAAAATACATCCCATAATGTCAAACCCCTTCAGGAATTACCCTCTGCTGAGTTCCACATCGCCCTGCACATCTGACGCGTGGGCACTGCAGCCTCCAGCCATGCTGTCTCAGTGTCCTGCAGCTGTGGTGACAATACCCATTACATGTAGGGACAAAGACAACAAGCATATTTTCCTCATGGACAAGAAACACAGACAGACACATAGAAATCACAGTAACATCTTTATTATAAAACTGCTTAGGTGTCCAAAAGTTTCTGGAGTACTACAGGACCTCCCTTTGTTTCAGGTACTTTTTTTTCCATTTCATAATGCATAAGAATTACTTTGTTAAATACAGGACAGATTTTTTTTTTTTTTAAGGTCTCTCAAAATTCTATGTTCCAGTTTAAAATGTGAGGATTCATAGAAAAAAACCCAACAGACAAGGCATTCAGCATTCGAATTCAGCTTCTCCTTGAAAACAACCTCTAAAAAACATGTCAGCAGCTCAGTGTACACACGATTAAAGCACACAGAACTGCAGTTTCAAAAGAGAACACACTTTAGAAAGATCAAAAGAAATATCCTTTCTTTATAGCACAGTGCAATTTAAAAGAAGTATGTGCCTGAATCAACAAGCAATACTCGCAAAGAGACAACACAATTTGCTCTCAGATATAAAACTAGACTGACAGGAATGAAATGTTCTGACCCATAGAACACTGCGGAAATAATTACAGAATTGAGTGTCAAGGACAAATACTTAATTTATACTAAAAATAGGAATTACTGAGGTAATTGGAACTGTCATTAGCTGGTTTGCACGTGCAAAAGGTTCCTTACTCATGTGCATGCAGATAAACTTTATACCTGAAAACTCTGCCATTGACATTTAGATGCTTTCTTTGGAAAACAGGAGCCCACTTAAAAACTGTATTTACTCTCAAAGCCATTTTCATACTTCCCCACCATTCTGAATACAGCTTCACGTCAGCAATTACAGAAAGCCACATAAGTTATTTCAAAGATTTATGCTTAATAAAATAGCATCAGCAATTCCTCTGCAAAAGCAGATGTATGAAATAACAACATTCCAGGTGAGGCATCTTCCTCGCCACCTTCTTTAACACCTGATTTAGGGGAAATGTATAGAGAGCTCCTCAAGCAATGGCCAGCCAGCAGTGCACCTGCAGCATCCTCATGAAGGGCGGAATGATTTTGGCATGTTCAGCGCAGGCGCCCACCTGGCAGCACCTTTCTGGGGCAGCGTCCAAAGGCTGAATGGGAACAATCATTTGCGGATCGCAGCCACCCTGGGATACCCTGGCCAGGGCTGAGTTCACATGCTACATATGTTCTGGCAATTAGCGTCTTAATTAGCTGACACTTTACAATACAGTTAGTATTTAAAAGGAAGGCATCTAAATAATTATTTCATAAGTGAAAGACTGGAAAACTGCCTGGCCAGAAACTGTGGAAGCAGTGGCTGGTGTTTTACTGTATACACTGGTTATGCTGAGATTAAGTCTTTTTTCAGTTAAGCATTAAATTCTACCATCAGGATTTGTTCCTCTTATTACTTTCAGGTACTTTTTTAAAAGAGTCCCCTTTGAGGGGTATGGTATACATGAAACAGAAAAATGAAAAGTACAATAAATGTTTGTTATAGACAGGAAAAGCAGAGGATTGTTGTGGAAGAAAATTCTCATCATCCTTTTCTTTTTAATTAAAACTCCCCAGGTCACTACAGCTGCAAAGAGCAATCAGTCTAAGCAGCACATTTACTTATATTTTCTTGGAATGGCAGCAGCAAGCCTGGATACACAAACTAGTGTGTTCCGCTTGGGAGTCCAAACCTCAAGCAACGCTTGCACACCACAGCATCCCTGCCTACAGCAGGCTCCTCTGCATGATCTGGTTAGAGTATGCAATTGCTGAATTGGATCTTTTAACCAGCACAAGATTAGGGAAAAGATGGATCAAACTGATTCTTCAGTTGTGCATGCAATTTAAAAACAAAACAAAAAAAAAACCCCAACCCCAACAGCACAAAGAAGATACCTAACAAGGCACTGAAGAGATTTAATCTTCTTGAATACAAGGCTGATTTATTAGGCTATGAATGGCTGTTTTACATAATTGTATGCACAGCAAATAAGAAATATAAAATCTGTTTGGTACCCAGAAGGTATTAAACTTCATTCACATCCAAGTCTACAAAGCAGACTGAGGTAAAAGGCATAGCCTTCAAAGTTACCAAACAGAACCAGTGAGCAAGCACACGTACGTAAACACAACTGCTGCAAGGATTTGGCACTGATCTGATACTGCAAAGCAATTTTTTTTAATGCACTTCATACTGACATTTTAGTAATGTCAGTTCTTATAATGGATCTGACAGACAGATATCTGATTTAAGGGAAAAAGCCTCCCTCCTTTTCAAGAATTTCCTAGTGTTTCCGCTTTGTTTTCATTGAGTACAAAGGGAGAAGGGAAGTCTTTGTTCTTCATGTACGCCTCCAGACCCTGAGAACGTGTGAAAACAGCACCATTAGGTTGTAAATGCATCAGACTGGCTACCTGCACTATTTTTAAGTCTACTTAATGTCCTCAAAAGTTAAAAGGTCATGGGAAGGACAGACAACAGCAACAGTTTCCCCAGTGCAGAGCTGGAAAGTGTTTCAGCCCCCTGCCTGGGGTTCATGAAGGACAGGCACCGATGAACAGTAATACAACAGATCTCAGAAACAAGCTTCCTGGGGAGGGGCAGGCATGCGAAGGTGTGTCCTTAACTCACATTAGACTAATCCTAGCAAAGAACAGTCAACTTAAATTGCCTTGTTTTCATTTTGTTCTTACAACGCAGTTGTAATTCATAGCAATGGACTGCAAAACCTAGCAAAAAGGTAAAGTTTTATGAATGCCTGTTCCCACAGTCTCCACACATCCTCCTGCAATCCACTATTTGTCACCCTGTCTGTACAACAGAGGGAAGCTCCTCTTCTCGCTGCTAAATGGAAGGAGCTTTCCCAGGACCAATTATTTTCAGAGAGACAAACTTGAGAAATCTGCTCTAAGATGTGGTTTCTCTAAAGCCAATGCACATATCACACTTATTCAGTGTTCACTCACCATGGGAGATGGGCACAAATTCGCATACAGTGACCCTGTGGATTTTGTAATTTGAATATTCTGCACTTTTCATTCAGAAGATCTCAAAGTATTTGTGAGTCTTAATGAAATTGTGCAGCCTCATTGCAAATCTCATTTTACAGTGAACAAACTGCTGAAGCGTAAACCATATTGGAACCATGAACAGAACAGAGAGCCCAAGTCCTGGTTCCCTTGAACTTACCATTTCTCTGCAAGCCCAGGCTAAAGAAATCTCCCATGTTTGGAAGGAAATTAGATGCATACCTGCACGCTCCTAAAAATACCTCCATAGTTATTCTTACCTCTCCAAAGTAAGACACTAATGGAGAAATCTCACACACAGCAGGAGGATCTTCAGTTTCCGAGAGACTAGAGAAGAGAACACAGGATGAACTTCTCGCTATGCTTAAAAAACAGTGCATCTTCTTTGAAAGATCATCAAGAACAGGATATCCGGAAGGATTCACGTGCACCAGACATTTGAACACAAAGTATGAAAATAAAATAGAACTAGCAGGTCCCAAATACTTCTCATCAAAACATGAACATCACTTTTATAGAGGTGCTTTTCAAGTAAAATGAACAGCGTGTGGGTTTATTAAACTATGAGTTGATGAACTAATAGCCCTACGAAGTAAAAGCAGCTTCCCATTCAGCATGATGCAGGAAGTATCTGAATTGGTAACAGCCAATCCTTAAGTCCACCTCAGAATCTTGCTGGGCTTTAAGCACTGGGCCCATATTCAGTAAAGCTGGTGAGGACTACAAATTACAATTCTTTGGGCTGGCTAAATCCAGAATGATGGAAAAGGTTGCCCCTGCATAATGAGCTCCTGTAGGGAGGAGTCAACTCATGACCTCAAGGACAGGAATCTCTGCCAGATATAAAGCCCAGAGTACTGTCTAGAGCACTCACAATCACAAATGGAGCAGGAACTGCAATTGACATGACTCTGCACATGACGAGTCATCCTATGATCAAACTAATGCCCGGTTTTGTAGAGCACAGTACATGCCGTTAGCTAGCTAGCACGGTTGGGCAGCCACAGGCAGAGAGGTCACAGAGGTTCGTACCTGAGTTTCTCTGGTATCCTGCAACCATTTTCATCCAGAAATCTGGCCCCAGCCTTGAGAGCCCAGCGGTAATGCTGGGCCAGGAGGGCTTGCCGAGCAGTGGTAGGAGTGTCTTTGTCAGCTGTGTCCATGTTTTTTAGTGGCGAGAACTCCTCTTCTCTCAAAACCTCAAACACCACAAAATTCCTACCGACAAAGGGGAGAAAACAACGATAATAAAAAATAAAGCGCGCCATCAGCCCTGTTGATATAACAACTTTCATGGGGAAAGGCTCATATATATTTTATGGATCAGCAATGTATGCAGCCTAGGGCGGTCAAGCTAAGGAAAACCAATCTCCCATCTGAAGAGTAAAGAAGTACCAGGGCTATAGGATGGAAAAACTCAAGCAGCAGCTCAGCCTCTTTGGGAACATAACAGCAGCCTCGCGCCCCTCCAGAGCTGAGCTCAGACAAGAGGAAAAGCAGGAGTTCTGCATAGAACCCACAGAAACCTCTCCAGGCACCAGGACGCTCATGGACAAAAAGCCTCAGCTAAGAGCACGGCAGGATGGAGAGAGCAGCAATGCCTGAAACTTGGACCCGGCACCCAGCTGTGCAGCTTACTTCAGAGCACCACAGCCCTGCTCCTAGAAACGGCCACTCCACTTGGGAGTCTGTAGGCAAGCATCAACTGAGGACACCAGTTCCCAGGGATGAATAAGCAATAGGGGAGGATTCACAGTTGAATGTTAAGTACAGCTGTTTACCAGAAATAGGAATGCAAATTAAAAAATCCCACAGCAGCATCTGTGCGTTTCTGCATTTCACACGTGAAGAACAGCTGCCAAGCTGTTTTTGCAGTGTTATTAAAAAAGCACAAGGAATCACTGCTTGCAAATGTGTCCTTTCAAAGCTCAGAACTCGGCACTGTTTCCACCACACTAGTTTTGCCTTTGGTATGATACTTCTTTACTGAACGCATGTCAGGAAACAGAGGCCAGTTCAAGCCTTGAGCTCTCTTAAAGTAAAATCATCTAAAAAGAAAAATACTATTCCCAAACAAAGATAATTCAGTTTGCCTGAGGTCTCTTTTTGCCATTTATTTAAGTCTAAAACAGAATCTTTACTGCTGAATTCCTGACCTTGGAAAATAGGTTTTGTAAGAACACTTATGCTAAATTACTCAATTATTAAAATCCCACATTCCATAAACACGAAGTACCCCTGATTGCACTAACACTACGGCATCGCACTTCTCAGTTATGTTTTAGAGCTTGGCAAGTCAACGCTGACAGTTCCCACAGCAACAGTAACTTGGCCCCACAGTGCTTAAGCACAAAGGGTGTGAGCTGAGCCCCACGGGAAACCAGAGCTGCAGTTCCCACGGAAGTCACAATCCTGAAAGACCCGATTTCTGTGAGGCTGAATACTGCAACATGGGCTTGTATTAAATGTTGGCTTTGTGCTCGATTTCTCTTTTTTTTTTTTTTTCCCCTGTCATGGGTCTGGCAGAGGCCAGGCCAGCTAACACAGCCTCAGTGGCACAAAAGAGTTCTGGGAGCACAGTCAGAGCAAGCCTGGCCACTGCCGAGCACCCCGTGACCGCACCTCTCGGAGCCTGCAGCATTACTGTTGTGCTGGAGCTTGGTATAGATCCAACAGCCTTTCTAACAACCCACAGACCACGCACTCCCTGGCAAGGCCTGTTACAACCTACGGTCATTCAAACAAACATTGAGAAGGGGAGGAAAAAAATAAAATCATGTCTGCCACTAACTTAGAGAACGGGAACACATCAAACACAAACTTCTCCAGCTTTATCCCGTTCGGTTTTAGCGGTTTTACCAGATTTCCCTCCTCGTCAATGTAGGGCACCTTCTTTATGGCTACATGATGCCTCAGCTGCGGCTCATATTTCCTGCAAAAGGAGAAGAAACAAGTTCATTTACTTTGTGCCCATTTAGAAAAAAGTAGTACTCTTCTGGGAAGCAGATGGTTTATTACTGCTCTGCATCTCTCAACTGTTGTGGGTGTTGCTCCCTCCAAATTGATCCAAGTCACCTTCAAGAAACACCTCCCTGAGCAGAGCAGCCCAGCCAGCAGCAGTCCCTGCACCAGTGGGACATGACAGGGTAAAGCAAGAGAGGGAGAACCTAGCATCAAGCTGAAATCGCAGGCAGAGATAAAAAAAGGTAACCAAAATTGTCACCTGACCAGGATGACAACGGAGCAGAGCAGATCCCTCACATAAGGGTGGATCAAGCTCTTCAGGAAGGTTGTACGGCTGCTCACTGAATGCCCAGCACCACATCGCCATCTCCCAACACCAACGTGCAGAGTCCTGCCCCAGCTTCACCCTCTCCCCAAACCTCTGTTGTCCCAAGAGATGGCATGGGTGACGTTCCCATTGAAACTCAGTGTGGGACTGCATCACTGACCACACTGCAGCCCATGTGGCTGCTCACCCTTTCAGGCCCAGGAAGGTCATACACTGCTATACCTCGGTCGATGTAGCTAAAGCGAAGCATGCAATCTCCTCATTGGTTAAGGGCCTGAAGAGCACACTGGGGCTGTCAGAAAGGGCACACAGCTGTTTTGGACCGTTTGGAGGAGAGAGGAGGTGAAGAGCAGAGCAGGAGGTACCCATAACTGAAATTACAGAGCGGGAAACGAGAACACCTCCTCTTGGAGGCATTTCTGGGCTGCACAGCTGCCTAGCAGGTCTGCTGGAACTTACTGGGCCACCATCTCCAGGAACTCAACTGTGAAGAAATGGTTGCAGATATTGCCAGCGCTGTACATCAGCCCCCCATCGGGGCTCTGCTGCTGCGCAGTCTCCAGGCTGATCTCACTGTACTCCACCACCTGGTAGACGCCATCCACAGAGCACACCACCCCGACAGGCTCTGTGGGGTAGGCCTTCTCCACCACCTGCAGCCACAGGACAGAGGGCTATGACAAGGAGGAAGAAAATCCCAGCACCATTCCAACTCCCATGTACCAACGATCCTACAGGACTGTTGCACACTGATCCTCCAGCACCTCAGGAGCACGGGCAGAGCAGTGCTGGGTGTTCGGAGTAGCCTGAAGGCACATTTTGCCCAACAACTAGGCATAAAACCCAGTATTCAACTGCTTAATTGCACAGTTGCTCAGAAGACAAACCCACCTGGGTACCAGGGGTAGAGGTCTCTTGGATGCCTGGGACCCAAATTTTTGGAGTCCCTGGACACCTGGGTCCCCTTAGGGATCAGATGTCCTGGGGTGAGGTGTCCCCCAGATATCTGGGTCCCCTAATGTGGGGGTTCACCTCGACACTTGGGTCCCCTGGGGCGGTGGTCCCCCAGATGCCTACGTCACCTGAGATGAGGGTGTCCCAAATGCCTGGGTCCCTTGTGGTGGTAGTCCCCTTGGGTGCCTGGGTTCCCCGAGACAAGGGTGTCCCAGATCCTTGGGTCCCCAGGGGTGGGGTGTCATGGGGTGGGAGGCCCCGATGCCAGAGTCCCCTTGTGTGTGGGGTCACTTCAATGCCTGGGTCCCTCAGATACCCAGGTGTCCCGGATGACTGGGTACCCTGGAACTTCTGGGTCCCCCAGACACTTGGGTTCCTTGGGGTAGGTGTCCCCCCGATGCCTGGGTCCTCTGTGGTGGGAGGTCCCCCAGACTCCTGGGTCTTTGTGGGTGAGGGTCCCCTGGAGTGGGTGGGTGGATAACCAAACTCCTGGGTCACCAGCCCACCAAAATGCCTAGGTCCCTGCAGGACACGCTGGTGGCCCTGGAGGTGCTAGCCCAGATTGGCTGCACAGCCAGATCCAGCCTCAGCCTGGAGCTGTCCTAGCTGGGGGGCAGGGGGGCACCCAGGGGAACACAGGTGACACTGGGACCCAGCCTGCAGTTGCTGGAGAAGTTAAAAGAAATCAGCATACTGTGGGGCACTTTTCTTATTGAGGACTGGGGCGTGGCATTAAATGAAAAATGTTTGCAGCTATTAGCCTTCAGCTCCCTGTTTGCATGAACAGTGTTAATGATTAAAGTGATATAAATCTCTCCTCAGCCACCTGCTGCTTTAGGGTGATATCCTGGTTTGAGGCTAAACAGAACCAATTTCGTGGCCAGCCCAGCCCGAACCAGGACAGATGACAAAACCAGGCTGGTTTGGCTTTCCCCATCTTCCACAGTGGGACGTAAGGAATGCCTCTATTAGACTTAAAGGTGCATTTACAAAACACAATGCAGTCCAATATGGCTTCCAGATAGCCCAAGTGCTTTGCAGAAAGGGGAAGCAAATCCAGTTTGTAGTTTCCTGTGCAGTCAAAGTTTTCCACAGTACTGTGGGAAGAGTGGGGGAGGAGACCCACAGGTAGGGATTCCAAATGCAACGCAGGCAGCAAGCAGCTCCTCTAAATCTGCTTGGATCAAGCCGCTGCCAGACGGAGGTCTGAACACCCGTGTTCATCTAAGCTAACCCTAGTCAGCAGTTTCCAAGTGTAATCAGACCTTAACTCCCTGTGGGAAAACAGCCCCACTTAGCACTGCCTCACCTTTGCACCACAATCTGCCCTTTTGGAAACACAGAAGCCTATGAAGACCGGATCTGCCATTTTCACAAGGATATTGTCCACACAGTATACATGGACATACTGGATTCCACGCTGCTTCATGTCATCCAAGATCTTATTATCTACCAAAGCACGGTATAAGCCACCATTGCCATCTATAATGCAAAAGAGAAGAGAAAGCCCTAGTTAATTAGTGACTTTGCAGTTTTTTGGGGGCTAAGAGCAAGACCTGAAAGTCCCGAACAAACTTTCTTTAACAGCAGAGCAAGGAATGCTTTCTAGCCAAGAGTCAGTGCTACCAGATTTTACCTCCATCTCTGCCCAACAGTTCAGGCAAGTCTGTTCCCCTCCACACCCCAGCTCCCTCACCTGCAGAGTGGGACCACGGGGACCAGCCTCAGAGAAGCATTACGAGGCTTTATGAAGCCGTTTAAGATCCTCAGAAGGAAAACATTAAAGCGCAAAACATTATGCAGAGGATGGGGAAAGCCTGTTACACTTCTCTTCTGGTGCAGAGCAAAAGCATGTTTAAAACTCAGCCTAGAGAAAAAGACTGAAATAAATCTTATTCCCTGTTTATCTCCCCCCTGCAACTTCCCAATGCCTTTTTAAAGGCTTGAACTGCAGCTGCACAAAAGACACCTGCATGTTTGTTCATAGCAGATCACCTTTTTGCGGTTCCTCCTTTGACACCCCTGTCAGCTCAGGAAAACCACTCTGCAGCCACAAAACCACATCACTGCAACACAGCCCCAACCAGGCTGCCTTCACTGCATTCCTTACCGTGTCCAGGTTAAGAGAAGACAAGAACTTTACTAGGTGAGACATTGCAATCATTTTGGAAAGAGTTAATCTTCTTACTGCTTTTTTGCCCATTTCCAGATATCAGCCCTGAAAGGGAGCTGGGATCCTGACAGCTTCCCCCGTGGGAGGCAGCACCCCAGGGACCTCATGCACAGTCCTACTGAGGCACACTGTTCCTAACCTGTAGCTACAGGTTCCTAACCTGCACCATTCCTAATCCAGCCAATACTCCCAGGCTTTGATAAAAAACATGTACTGTGGGCAAATCTCCAGCAAGAACTGAACGGAGATTGCTACACTATTGATCACCTGCCTGAAGCATTTAACCAAACCCTCCCATGCTAATCAGAAGCATTAACACTGACCTCCAAAGACTACTCTGTGTGCCAAGGCTAGCTGATGGCCGGTAACAATTATCAACATATATTACATTACTGTACCATGTAAGAGTGAACAGCAGGGTACCTGGAGCCATAGCAATTTTCCCCTTCTCCTCCAAGATGGCCTTCCCATCAAAGGTGACAGCAGGCAGCATCCTCTGTTCAAACATGACCACATTGGATCTATCCAGGTTGAAGTAGTTGTGCTCTACAAAGAAGTCCTCTGTCGGCCCCAGCGTGAACTCACTTGTCATGATGTACCTGGGTAGGAATTGGTGCTGAGCAATGAGCAAGAAAAGCACAAGCAAAAGACAAAACTACAAAAGGAAGGAAACATGAAAGTGTTAAATGAGAGACAATACAGTATCCTGTGGTAGGCAACTGAGCCTGAGAGCTTTCCTCCAGAACTCATCCCACAAGAAGGCTGAGCAGGGTCTTGTGCACAATCCTACCCACAGGCTTAGGTCCAACCAGGACAGAAGAGACTTTCCCTAAATGCGAACCGCATCTGGATATACGAATGAGCTGGAAAACAAGGCAAAGGACAGTACAACAGCCTCATTCGCCCTAGATTCAAGCTGATGTTCAGTCTCTAAAGAAGCACTGACCAGCACGAGGTGCTCAGAGTGAGCTGCAAATCCTCAGCAGCTCAGTCTGCCAGCGCCTCTTCCGTGCCAAGGCGAACAGCAGCATTTTCAAATGTTGGCTGCATGATTTGTTCTTAGGTTTCTGCTTCCTCTTCTTCCAGCTCCACATTGCTTCTGTCTCTCCCTCCACTATCTCCCTTCTTCAACAGTGGCTAAGAGCCATCCTCATCATCTACCTGTTAAGTCCTTCAACAACTATTGGCATAGCTACACAGGGTCACTGCCAGCATGCCAGGGTTATCAATCCCTTCCACGGGAGAGCCTGGACCTCATACATGCCCTGATTTACACCGCTGCAGCACAGCATAGTCTGGCCTCTGGTAGCAGCCAACTGCCTCTTCAGCCCTCGGAGAGGAACCATAAACATCACCAGCAGATGTACCCTGCAAAGCACCCATCCTGGCTTCCAGCAGCACCAGGGATGGTGCATTTACAATTCAGGTCATGTATGCATGGCTTCAGAAACAAACACAGTATGGACTCAAATCACCTTCTATCTCCAATTTGCGAAACAACGTGCTACCCTGAAGACCTGACACCTGCTCCTTCCCTCTTCCCAAACCCCAGCTCAGACCAGACAGTGATTTCATAAAGTTATCTTTTCATAGTCTAATGAAGACCACTCGGCCAAAAACACTCCAAGCAGCATGCCGTAGCGCCTTCCTCGCTCTCCCCCACCACATCCCATAGGGAATTCGTATTTTGCACCTTCACAGAGCTAGTCTCTTTTGAAGCCTGGAGGCCTTTGAAAGCTAGGAGCAGCCAGGAGAGACAGCAGACAGCTGTAAACAGCAACAGCAGGAGGTGGCCTGAAAATGGAGCACAACAAGCATTTACTGCTGCAGGGGGAAGAGTGGTTTTTTGCTACAGCAGAAACTGTGGGCAAGGGGAGGCAGAGGGTCTTGGAAGGTGAGCTCTAGGTGATCTCTCCCTCCATGCAGGAGCCTGAGAAAGCACAGCACAAACAGATGAAATCTCTTGCAAAGCATCTGGAACAGGCACTGGAAAGTGCTGTTTATAGTGTTGTCAGGGACTGTGCTTGAAAAGACAGCTTGGTACAGCAGTTATGGTAGTGGTCAGTGATTCAAGGGCAGTGCTTGGTCCCTCAAGCCTGCAAAGACCAGCCACTTCCCATTCCTGCACACCCTCCTCCAGCTGCTGGCATCACAAATCCCGCCAACCAAAGGCTCTGCCCCGATGTGTCTCTACAGCAGCCAGCAAAGTGCTTCTAGAAGACAGCATAGGCAAGACTGCAATGCAAAGAGCCCTGCATAGTAGGTGTGCGGCTACAGGTCACCTACCAGGGGATGGCACACTTGCAGTGGTGTCTCTGGCCAGCGAGCTGCTCCACTTTGCGGATTCTTTCTGCTTGGATCTGATACAAAGTCTTGCCACTGGGCAACCCCACATTGTACATGCCCTTGGGGTAGCTCACTCCCAGACGAGTTCCTTGTCCTCCAGCCAGGAGCAGCACTGCCACCTTGTTCTGCGAGATCTGATGGAAGCCTGAACAGGAGAAAGAACCCCAAAGGAACATAAGAACCACAGAAGCAATCAACACCCCATGCCCTTCTCCTGAGCCTTTCTGCAGAGCTCAGGCAACAGCCAGAGGCTGCCAATTCAATGTCCACTGCTGGCAGCTCAGAGACAAATATGATGCTGCACACAATATGAAAAAAATCATTTCATCTCTCTGATGCATCAGTTTCCTCTCTCCAGAGAGGTGAGGGATGTCGCTTATGGTTTTCAAGGCTTACTTTGGTAAAGGCATAGCCGACCCAACCTAGGGCTGGGTATGGACCTGTTCCAAATAGGGGCTGGACTAGAGACCTCCAGAGGTCTCTTATCACCAACATTTCTACATTCCAAATAAGCAAAGTCTCATCATCTTCAGTAAAGCATGGGCATTTCTGGAATCTGCCTTGTCAACTATGTACTTGTGCTCCAGCTTCTGTTCAGCTTCAGTCAGGACTAATAATACAGCCAAGCCTGCAGAAACCACAACTCCCACAATCTAATTAAAAACAATTATAATTTCTCCCAACAAACATGGGGAGTCCAGAACTTGGGGAAGAAGCAGACCACAGAATAAACACCAGCTCATTGGTTTTGTTCCCTGCCTTCTCAAGCCAGCATCACAGTAACGACTGACAACGGTGAGAAATATTGACACCTTAGGGAACACTTTGCGTTCCTCCAGGAACGCAGTGAGCTCTGGGACTGCCCAGGTCAAAAGCCACAGCTCTGCTGCTGTAAGGTAGCTATCAGAGCCTTTTGCAGCCTAATGCAAGAGGTCTACTGCCCATCACCGAGCCTGCCACTGCTCCCTGCAGTCCAGGACAGCCCGTCCTTCACTTCAATCTCCAAGAAGAAAACACACAACTTTTAACCACATCTGGGACTAAAAAACTCCTGACTTGGACTGAAAAACACAGGGACCAAAGATACTGAATTAGAAGAAAAAGAGGATTGTTTTTATGCTCATCTTTAAATAGCTGGCTGTTTAAACGAGCAATAGAGGGACAATACCAATTGCTGCTCTAACAATCTGGCTTGGTTTTAATTCTGTTAAAACGTCTAGCTTTCAGCAATAAAACCAGACATAAGTCATGCATGACATTGCAGTAATCCTGTTGACCTCCCCATGCTTACAATTTTCAGTCCTACCACAGCAGTAAAACAATGTTTCTGCCTAAATATACCCTTTTGGGAAAGGCTTGTAATGGCCACTCAGGCACAACAAAGGAAGCCGGTTACACAGCCCTGCCATCACTTTGCTGCAGAGCAAGCCTCCGAGTTCACAGGGCCGAAGAAGTGTTGACTGGAAGCCACCTCTGGATATCCATAATCCACCCTCCCTCTCCAAGTGGGATTAGGAGAGCTCTCTAGAGGGAAACCTGTCCAGAAGGTATAAGTCTTGGGATTTCAAAGTTTCAGGAGGTCCTTGGATAGAGGGGGAAGCTTGAATGGCTTTAAACTTAAAATTTAAAAGGCACAGACGATAGCACTGGGTGAGCTGTATGGCGATGCAAATAAAATAAGCATAATTCTGTGCAATAAACCCCAAGCAATTAACGGCTCCTTTGCATCTTTACTGAACTTCTCAATGCAAAAGACTTAAAGCACAAAGCAGAGGCTCTACGGTATTAGATACGGCACTATTACTTGCTCTGGTCCCTGCCTCATGTGCTCAGCAGGCTGATTACCTGAGGCTGCATTACTGCATAAAGACTGGACTGAAGTCAAGGCTGAGGCAAATGGCTAGTAAAATCAAAGTGCCCAGCCACATCCCACTCAGGTCCACTCCAGGAAAGGATGCTGCGTCAAAAACAGCAACCAAGCAGAGCGAGGCACTGAGTCACGGTGCGCTACAGCACCTTCATTGTCGACCTCCATCAGCCACCTCCCTCGACACAGCACTCCCCCATGGTCCTACTGCCCATCCTTACCTGAGCCTTGCCCTACCACAGGGCTGGGGCATGCTTCTCCGCTTGGCCTCGTGTGCGTGATCAAGGCAGCACCCAAGCAGCACTGTGTTAGGCTGCCGGGCTCCTTCCACCAAACCTGACCCAAAACGTCCCAGAGGAAAAAGAAAAATGAAGGGAGGGAAGAATGTATGGAAGAAAAAAAAAAATCTTAAAAAGTTCCTCTGTGGACACTTTGAAACTGTTCTGTTTCAAACAGGCAATAAACACATTTAAAAAACCCTAAATAATCTAGAACTGAAACTGCTTGAGCTAATATATTTCACATTGATTTTAAAAAAAGCTGTCTGAGGTCTGATTTGGTGGTCTCAGTTGCTGCAGCTCAGGGAGTGCTGCTTTGGGGTCCAACTGAGATTCACCCACCAGTGGATCAAGTCAGGCACTTGCCCCATTCCATCCCTGCCACGGCACCGCTGGGCTCACACCGACAGACACACTCTGGTCTTGATGCAATGGACCACATCTCACCGACCTCATATTCCAGGTTTATGCACAGCAATAGGCTGTGACCAAGGGGCATCACTCACATGAAGCACTGGAGCAAATGCTGCATCGGAAAATGGTCTCTAAATTGGAGAGACACAGATTTGACACAGGGACCACTCGGTGGATAAGGGACTGGCTGGACAGTCACACTCAAAGAGTTGTGGTCAACAGCTCCATATCCAAGTGGAAACCAGTGACGTTCCTCAGGGGTTGGTACTGGGACTGGTGCTGTTTAACAACTTTGTCGGCGACACGGATGGTGGGATTGAGTGCACCCTCAGCAAGTTTGTCAACAACACCAAGCTGTGGGGAGGGATTGACATGCTGGAGGGGAGGGATGCCAGGATTGAAAGGTGGGCCTGTGCAAACCTCATGAAGTTCAACCAGGCCAAGTGCAAGGTCCTGCACCTTGGTTGAGGAAATTCCAAGCACAAATACAGGCTGGGCAGAGAATGGATTGAGAGTAGCCCTGAGGAGAAAGACTTGGGGGGTGTTGGCTGATGAGTAACTCAACAAGAGCAAGCAATATGTGCTTGCAGCCCAGAAAGCCAACCGCATCCTGGTCTGCATCAAAAGCAGTATGGCCAGCAGATGAAGGCAGGGGATTCTGCACCTCTACTCTGCTCTCATGAGACCCCACCTGGAGTACTGCCTCCAGCTCTGGAGTCCTCAGCACAAGACAGACATGGACCTGTTGGAGCAAGACCAGAGGAGGCCACGAAGATGATCCGAGGAGCTGGAGCCCCTCTGCTGCAAGGACAGGCTGAGAGAGTTGGGGTTGTTCAGCCTGGAGAAGAGAAGGCTCTGAGAAGACCTTATAGCCCCTTCCAGTATCTGAAGAGGCTACAGGAAAGTTGGGGAGGGACTTTTTACAAGGGCATGTAGTGATAGGACAAGGGGTAATAGCTTCAAACTGGAAGAAGACAGATTTAGATTAGATATCAGGAAGAAGGTTTTCACTCTGAGGGTGTTAAGGCACTGGCCCAGGTTGTCCAGAGAAGCTGTGGCTGCCCCATCCTTGGAGGTGGTCAAGGACAGGTTGGATAGGGCTTTGAGCAACCTGGTGGGAGGTGTCCCTGCCCATGGCAGGGGGGTTAGAACTAGATGATCTTTAAGGTCCCTTCCAACCTATTCTATGAAAAGCTTGCAAGGTCCCACTTTGTCACGCAGCACACACCACAAGCAGCTGCGATCCTCGGCCACAACTCAAGGGTGACAGGGCTGGCATCACCCCACTAAAATGGGGATGTCCCAGAGGAGATGGCAGTTCTCAAAAGTTTCCCATGCAGTGACCAGAAGACGGGATCTGCCCAAGGGTGATTTGGCATCTCACACCCACCTCCCAGAGGGACTTCTCACTGCGGGAACTAAACCTCGACCTATGCGGGATGAACCCGAGCCCAAAGCAGTATCACTGATGACATCAACAGTGTCATTCTCTTTCTCTTCCCAAAATCCAGCAGACTGATGGGGCCGTATTCCCAGGAGAGGGCTGACCACAGCACACACAAACAACCCAGCAAGGCGACTCTCCTTCCCATCATTTATGGCATTCCCAGTATTTCCAGTGCAATCCTACAACTCCCAGAGAGTTTTTCCAAGTTTCTGATCTTAGGTTGCCATGAAAATGAATATCCATCAAAATTAGAGTAAGTAGGTCCGCTGTGACTTCCCAGCTGTAAAACTACTAATATTCATGACTAAAGTTCATAACAACTGACTCCTCCTGCAGTAAATGGAAATATTTATCCCTCTTAAAAAAACACGCACCTTATTTTCTGCAGCATGAGAAATATGAACAGCTCAACCAAACAAAATAGGGAAGATGTGCTCGCTGTTAGATACCCACCAATGCTGCAGCAAGACTTATTCTGCATAGAAAGTAAAAAACAAAAATAGATTTTGCAGGAAGAACAGATCGATCTTGCAAGAACTGACTGAATTCTCCTGCTGGAGAGGCATATCAGCCTGATTACAACAGCAGTCAGCAAGAGAAGAATAAAGCAAAAAACCAAAAATCCTTAATTCTGCAGAGCAGTTGGATAACCAGAATGGCTCATCAAATGCTCTGATGAAATGGGACCTACACCGCACCCCATGCTCGAGAGTTAGATTTCATTAATATTTACAGAATATAAAATCGTCTCTGCTAGATTTATACTATCATCTCTAAGGCTGCCTAGAAAACATGATTGTTTAATTTTTCTGTTTAAGATCTGAAAGCAAATTTGACCAGGGTACGTTTTATCGTCTCAGAGACAACAACAGTGCTATTATTTATTATTTTTTTTAACTATTAAAAAAATATCGTGGATGTTCCCAAACCAAATTTTCAGTTGCCTGGTTCTTTTAACCATCTTTTTTTTTTTGATCACGAGAAAGGGGGAAGGGGAAAGGAGGAGACATCATTTCAGTTGTTCAGTTTGCAGAGGACACGCTGCAGGTGGGAGCTGCTGGGAACCTGGACACCAGTGGACAGAGCACAGTCGAGCTCATCTGAGGGGGGGACCCCTCAGGCACAGTCTCTCTCAGCTGCGCAGCCTCAGGGACGGTGAGCAGCAGGTCAGGACTGCTCACTATGCTCTCGTCCAGCTCAACACTGCAAGCAGCTCACTGCAACCAAGAGCCTTTCGGAGCCTGCATCCCCTCAGGGACCCACAATCCCCGCAAAGCCTGTGCTGCCCATGCCAGCTCCACTGGGAAATACCATGTGGGAGCACTGGGATGCTCCTGGGGATGAGGTCACGTCCACAAGGACACGTGGCATGCCAGCACTGCCCGGGTTCAGCAATTCTCACTCCTGACTGCCCTCTCCCAGGAAATAAAACCAAGGGCCGATTCCCACCTCCACCTTTAAACTGGATCATAAAAACAAACCAAAGGGAAACAGAAGAACTGTGTCCCCCTCTCCTGGTATAAATCAAGAAACGCTGCCTGCAGGACTGATGTGGCTCAGGACCATCCGGACTTTGTGGCCAGGTGACTTGCGTGCAATGCCGGTAGTCTCAACCATGCCGGACCTTCTGGCCTCCTGCAAGCATTGCTTGCAGCAAGCGAGGCCAGCCCTGTGCACTATGCCTTCCCTTCCCTGCTGCAGACAGCAGCACAAGGTATATACGCCGGTTCCTTGCTGGCCTGGCAGGGCAGTAGACAAAGGACCCAGTTTGGTAAAATTCTTTAATTTAACCGTGCAGCCTTGACCTAGACCCATCTGCCTCTAGGAGTCATGGGTTCCCTTCCTCTTCACTGCGACACCCTCAAGCAAGAAGCAGCGACCACCAACCAAAGCAGGTCCCCAACCAAACCCCACCAGTTAGGTCTGGGCAGCCGCCGCAGTGCTGGCCAGGCACTGGCACCCTCCTCTGCTCAGCTGGAGATGTGAGCACAGCTGATGGAAACCCTGGCTGGACCAAACACACGTGGCCCCTGGGTCACCAGAGTTTCCTCCCGCTCCCTCCATCATCGCTCAGCCCCGTCAGCGGAGTCTGACACAGCAGAAAAGCTCCTCTGCCCTGTGACCCTGCCATTTCTCTTTTTGCTTTTGTTCAGAAATATTTACTCCCCTGCCCCCACATCCCCACCTTTCTGCTGGCAGGTTTGGGTCAAGGCTGTGCAGATGCAGACACAGACACTTTCCACAATTTAGGCAAGTGTCTCTCCAACCACAGTGTGTTTTTTCTAGCTTCCTCTTTTTAACGATGATTATTTTTAACACTGTATAAAGAAGGAGGGGAGACACATCTGAACCTTTGTAAATAAATGAAACAGAGCATGCACTTGGAAAAAGGCACAGGATGTCAGTGTAAGACATACAGGCTGTGGGGGGAGCACAGCCCCCACCATCCAGCTGCCACTGCCCCCATCACCTTCATCTTTCACACCCCCACGGGGTGACCAGGGAAAGCCGCCAGCATCTACTGGGCTCCAAAACCCAAGGATGTTGGGCTTTCCCTGGGCTTCTTCCACACTACCCATCCCCTCTACTCCCAGGTCTCCCTCCCGCACCACAGGTGGCATGGCCTGGATGGGGCCCTGTGCCAGCGCCCGTGTGAAGCAGGAGACCTATCTTTGCCTCCATAAGCTGACTGGCAGACCACCCCCATGCCCCGATTTTGGCAGCAACGTGAACCCTTTGCTCCCACCCTCCCCAGGGGCTTCACCTCCACCCGTGAGGCACAGCATCACCCCGTGTCCCCCCGACCACACGCTCTCCAGCCACTCTATGTAGCAGCTAAGAGCAAAAATTCAATGTCTTGGCCCCAAAGTGCTGCCGCAGCCCCTACTGCGCACCAGAGATGTGGCTGCCTGTGTTCGGGGC